GCCGAAATTCGCCGGAGAGCAGCTCTCCTGTCTTGTTTACAACTACCGAAACAAGACTTTTAGTGGAGTCCCCGAGGATAAGAAGAAGAGAAGGCACTGCCCGAGTACCTTTTTTTGGTGACATTGCCAGAAGCAGAGTGGGTAGTACACCACAGATACCATGAAAGTAGGACAGGGTGTGATATGGACAAAGTTGCTTTCATGGAAGAGGTCTGGACAGTAGTTCAGTGCCTACGAGACCCAGTCAATGCTGAAAACAGGTCTCAACAGACCATTGATGCAAGTTCGATGAATGTGAATGGAGATTGAGCGAGTTGTTAATTAATTCGGCCACTGACGAAAGTGAAGTGAATTCTCCCATAAAGGCAGCGCAGCAAGAAGGCAGTGGTGAAGTAGTATACCTCAGCCAAGCGAAAGTATACCAACGTGACATTAAGGAAAACTGGAAAAGCGAAAGTAGACTCTGAGATCTCAGTAAAAGCTGTCAATTCAGCCAAGCGAAAGCGTGTCGAAGAAGTCACAGATATGGAACAAGGCGATGACCAATTGCCTGGCACGGATAGAAAACTAACCGATGTAACGATGGTGCCACCCAACCTCATGGCAGGACTAAGATCAGCCAGTTATAAAAATAAGAGGAGTGACCGCACTCTGACTGGAGCGACCCTAGAAATGGAAACTCTCAGCCAGTGTGGAGAGAGTACCCTACAAGATTTTAGACCATCTTGCTTGAATCATGGAAAGGGGAGAATCGAAGGACAGCTAATCCCAGTGGAATATAACCGACTGACAGTATCGGAAACCTTCCTGGTCGACGAACCCGCTGGTGGATACATGGAGTGGTGGAATACAGAAGCTCGGCTATCGGACACCTAATCGCTCTAGAAAACAAGGGTGCTATGGAGTGTTAAATGGAGGAAATGATACAGGATACGATGATGAAACAGAGAGCATACGGAATTTTGGTCTCCTCTGAGATGCAAGCAGAAACGATAGACCAGTTATTGAGCTTACCGTGGAGAGTGGTGGTGTTACGGCACTTCGAAGAAGAAATGAGAACCACCTTGAAAATACACGCTCTGATAGCGATACCTTACGTGAGGACGGAGCTACAACTGCATGACTGGATTAATGCGGAAAGAGTAGAGACTCAGAAGAAAAGAAGAGATCGAAGGAAGAAAAGGTGCTCTTGATGACGAGTGTGAGAGACCTAATGACCCAAGAAGGAGCGGCGGTAGCGTGTGCGAAACGGGAGACGCTCTCTGTCTCGTTCGATTCATGTTAGATCAAATATCGGTACCAGCGTTGAATACTTGTGCCAAGATGCTGAGATAAGGCAATGATCGGGCAAAAACCTTGCTCTTACAAGCACTTTTAGACAAACACCAAAATAAACCGATGCGAGTAAAGCTGAAGGAGCCGGTAGAATGGGAACCGATGAAGAAAGTTGTTGAAATACGAAGATTCTCGAACAAGGAGCTGAGACTTACAAAGGAATCCTTGGGAGCATTGCTGAAGTCCAGTGAGTATTGTGGACCAATCAGGAAAAAGTTGTACAGTTACGTGTCTGGAATCGTAGGAATGGCACACAACCCTTTCATCAAGGAAGACATACGCGATTGTTTCTTCGACTACGAACAAGTGGTGTTGCTAAGATTCTGGATGTCAAGAATTGCGACGATAAGGAGCGCTGCTATTCAGCAGGTTAAGCTGGGACTTGTGTTGGAAGGAAAGGTGACTGCACCTTCAGTGCAAGAATCTGACAACCGAGTAGAATTTGGATTGGGATTCTTGGATGAATTACTGAGAACGAGCCTGATGGTGGTGTGAGAGCTGATGAATCCATCATCGTGCCCGAGTCCCAATGCTGATTCGATATTGTGGGCGACACAGGACGTGCTGAGGGAGCTGAATTCAGACTGCAACTTGCGTGACCTGAACATCGTTTAAGACTTGATGACATCAGCCTCCAAGAGCAACAGAGGAAACAATTTTTAGTTGCCTGGCTGGGGACCAGAGGACTGAGTTGAGCCTGGTAGCTGTCTGGCGAAAGTATCTGGACTGGAAGGTCAGATCTGTGGAGGATTTGATTGCGTGAAGACTATTGCGAAAAAACAGTAGCAATTGACGATATCGTTTTGAAACATTGTAATGAAAGAAAAAACGGAAACGGAGATGATTGCAGATTGCCACGGAGAAACTATGGTGAATCTAGTGACTGCACTACTGTTCTACAGCATGTTTGGTTCTTAAGAGTCACTATTGAATCTAGAGAAAAAGCATGAGATGGTCACGGCCATCAGCGTAGAAGTGTTTCAGGGAGTGTTGCAAACTGAACGGAAGTGGAGAGAAGCTATAGAAGCAGAGATGAACATTCCGCAGAGTGAAACTCAGACCTTTAGGCGTGTGATACCTAGTGAGCTCGACGTCGGCTCCGATGTGGAAAAGCCGATAACCAGAGCACTTTGTGGCAGTGGATGTGAAGAAAACCAAGACGATTGTTGAACAAGCTTTCTCAGTGCCGAAATGCGTAAGGTTAGCGAGAATGTCGGAGAAATCCTTCGAGTTGCTACGTAAGATGTTCGCGTTGTTCCTGAAAGAACTGAGGAAGAGTCATAACCGATCTGGGAAAAAAATTCATGGGATACGCTCGTGGAACTTTAGTGATTTTGAAAGTTGGAAACAGAAAGGATCAACAGCGACAGATTACATTGCAATAGATGAAAACGACGTCATTACCGAGTAAGGATGGAAGTGGAACCACTACTGGAAGCGTCGGGAAAGCGTAATTGGAGGAGCATCATGTTGACACTTGATGAGTTCCCCTGCCATTTTTTGCTACAAACTTGGTGGTATCCTGGGCGCACTAATCTGGTGCTGATCTGGGACTCTGGAAAGCTGCCCTTCACGGGTTTACCAGATTCATCACAGCCCATAACGAGAGTGATAGTTGGAATTATGATGGCAATTCGATGGCTAGAATCTCATGGAAAGGAGAACAATCGACAGAGATGTCGACAAAAGAACAACTGCAGGAACTGGATTGTCTAAAAGATTTAGATCTTTTTGAGACAACGTGCAAAATCTCGAACATTCCGATAGAAGTGAAGAAGATATGGGCCAGGAGTCGACTGATGCCATGGTTTAGAGTCAACATGACTGCATGGTTATACGAGTATGCCAAGAAGCAGATGTCGAAGCACAGCAGTGTGTACAGTGCGTATCAGCTGGACATTGGAGCAGGAGCTTGCAAGCGAGCCTTTGTAACTCATCGGAATGCAGTGACTACCGCACTGAAAAAGACGTTCAGAACAAGTGAGTGTGACGGTAGAAAAAGAGAAGAAATGTTGAAGGAAGACCTGGAAAGAAACGAGAAACGTGACGTTGTGCCTCCACAACAGCTTCTCCAGAAACAAGGAAACTAACGTATATATTTCTACTTTGTTGCAAAAAAAGGGTACAAGAGCAGAAGTGTTGGAGGACTGCCTCCAACAGCGTCAGAATAGCCACCAGCGTGTTGCAAGACAATGAAACTGAAAGTGCAGAGTCAATGTCGCAGGAGGAGGAGATGGAGCAATGACAAATAGCCGAAAAACAAAATGCAAAATTAGAAATATCAAAAGAATTTAGAAGCTTTAGAACTTCTAAACGACGAAAACAAAGAAAGAAACATAGAAGTGAACAAAAAACAACGAAGGAGGAGATGTTAAAACTCAGAATTGTTTATGTGAGGAAAACTCAAATGAAAAATTACGCAACTAGGCTTGTAGTGGAAACTGAATGAAAGAAAAATGTTAGTTGATTTTTGAAGTTAAGAAATTGTTGCATTTATAAATTTGCATTGTAATTTTGTTAGCGGCTTAGAGACTCTTACTATTTATCTAGAGAGGCTTGAGTGAAGAGTATATTAAACACTCTAATCTGCATGATTGTTTTTAATCAACTAAGATGAGTGATCACTCTGTGGTGATATGAAGTGCTTGGGTAATCTCTTGAAGAAGGAGATTGTTTCATTGCTCCTTCTAACCACCGAGTTCCTTAATTTTAGTTTCAGGACCAATAACAACTAAATTTCCGAAGGGAGGAAGCATAGTAGGATATTTTTAGTTTGTTGGTTGGCAGGACTGTCCTGCGTCCCAACACTTTTTAAATCTAGGAGAAAAAGATTTAAATCGAGACATTGGCGTTAAAAGTCAGAAAAGACATTTTATATTCAATCATATCCTCTAAAGTGCAGATTTTTAAAAGAATTTGGAAGGCTCTAACAATGTAGTATGATGTCATTCGCATTCTGCACTGAGTCGATGTGGATATGATACTGCTTAGGTTATGACAATCTTATTTGGTCTCCATCGTCAACCTTGTTAAATCACTCGTTAGACTATAAAACTGACGCTCATGTTAGGTGGGGGGGGGGGGTAAGGAAAAAAGCCGCAGTTACTTAACACAGGCTTATTTTAACAGATACGGAGAAATAGCTCTTTTCTAGTTCAACCCCCCTTTGATTAGTTTTGGGAAATTTAATATATGAAAACTGATAAAAAATGACTTTTCATTTTATAAATTGCATTAAAACGTGTCAGCGTGAACAGGTGAACAAACTATTACAACTTTTCCTTCATGCAAATTGAAATGTGAACATTTTTTGAACAGCTTTAATTTGAAATTTTACTAGGGGTTGGGACTCCATGAAAAGAACCATCAAGGTCCGTGATTTTTTTTGACTAAATTTTGGTGTACAAAAAAATTGGCTCTTTCCATCTCCCCACTCATTAGAATTTCAGTTTCGAGAACTTTTTTATATTTTCATAAGGCAGTGAAACTTTGCATGGTGAACAAGTTCCCTTTTCTGAACACATTTTGTTCAGCATACCTTACATCTTAACATCACGCACTCAGCCATAATAACACGTAGGAGAAAAGAAAAAATGGTTAATTGGAGCAGAATACTTTTTTTTCTCTACAAATAGTTTTTTGTCTACAAGTTTTTTTCGCTAAAATCACGCACTATACTGAATTTGCCAACCTTTTTCGTTGTGGATGCAATGAGCTGCAGTTAAAACAAACCATTGGCTGATAAGTGATCCTCCGCAAGAATAATATGGTCCCTGTGCTTTCCCATTAGGAAATATCCAAATATGGACAAAAAAAGGTCGAAAAATGGCATTATGGCCGTTTATAATCGCCCTTTTATTATACTCGGCGAGACATGGTCCAAAGACTAAAAAGATAAATTTGAGCATTTCTGTGGATTTATTTCACAATCTATTTTGGAAAAAATGGAAGTTTAGAAATATAATTCTTGGCTCTTTTTCCTTTTCCACCCTACCTGCAAATTTTTATAATACAAATTACTGTTCACATTGTCCGTTTGCCATGAAAAATGACATGCAGACTAACTAGACCATGGCAAACATATTTAATTTACATGATCAACCTTGTAAAGCCACCCCTTAGACAATAAAGTTGATGGGGAAAGGAAAAAGAGCCTAATTCTTTTCACAAGTCTCAGTTTCGACCAAAGTTGTGAATGTGAAGCACAAAAGCAGCAAAAGTTAAAGTAAAACAAATTTGAACGAGAAATCATGGATAAAAAATTGGCGGGAGTTTGATGATGACCTCGATATTTAAAATCAGCGTAAGAATTTCTGTGGACCAAACGAACAATCTCCCCCCCCCCCTGAAATCAAATTAGGGATATAAATTTTTTGTTTAAAAGTAATACTTTTGAGCCGATCGATCAGATTTGAGTATAGTACATGCAGGCCTTACCGCTTGAATTTGTTATTTAAATTTAGGGGGGTGTGTTTCCCTTGGTCTATTGGGTGGATGGAATAAATGGGCCCTTACTGTTATAAATGGCGACCGAGAGAACGCAACATCATAAAAGTAGATGTCAAAATTAACTCAATAATGACTACTTCAACAATTAGCGAAACCCATAGAGTTTCTCTGAGGCTCATTCGCCTGCACGCTTAGTGCCTAAAAATTTGTTTTTTGTCGAACCGTGGTTAAAACTTGAACCAAATTTAGAAAGAATCATTTCACCTTGTTTCAACCTACTCCTTCAACCACTACTACTGCGTTCTAGCTGTCGATACTTATCAATTAATTAAATAGTTTCTTTTTGTTATGAATCGATTCTTGTGTGGTAGTCCTCCACTTGGACAATTTTAGAGACAAGTCCGTTGTATGGCTATACACTCAAGGTTTCATTCTTTCAAAGCTGATCCGACGATTTATTTATTGATAGCGGATTCCGCAGGCTGGTAACCTCATGTCCTGTCACTCCTTGGTGCCGGTATAAGGCGCGCATACGAGTTTATCCACCCCAAAGGACGTTTCCATATCATCATTCTTTTCCGTGGAGGCAACGATCTATTCAACGGTTTCCAGCCTTGTAGTAATACTCCCAAAAGCCCAAAATTTGATTGAAAATGCAGACTCCTTCTGCCGTAGAACCAAAAGTAGCGTTATTTCTGGGTATTCCTGAACAAATTGAAAACCGTGCGAGAGGAAGTGTATTGACCAAAAGTCTTCAAGCGAGAGCTGAGAGAATTTCACCGAGAGTTGAACCAAGAGTCGAGTGGAAATCTCGCTGCGTTAGTAGCCTTACTTAAGGTAGACGCTTCTTTAAATCTGATAGATTTCACCTCAACAGCGACGGACTAAATAACATCAAACATCTAGTCAAAGTCAAAAATTTGTACTTGAAATACGACAAGAAACTGAACGAAGCCGGAAACACAACGTTGATTACTTCTCATACAACTAGTTGTCAGTGTGCCAATCTTTGGTACACTCCACGTCAGTAAATAAGTGAGTACGCTTACGATTTGTTTTTCAGAAGTACCTTTAGGTGACACCGGTTAAAACAAGAACAGTAGTTCGAGTTGGCAAGAACTGCTAAACCAATATAAAAAAATGAAAAAATACATCACTGTGTCTCATGCAGTTGTCACTTACATCTAGTAGTAGTAGTTGTAGTTGTAGTAGTAGTAGTAGTAGTAGTAGTAGTAGTAGTAGTAGTAGTAGTAGTAGTAGTAGTAGTAGTAGTAGTAGTAGTAGGGATTCTGTGCTGGTCAGCACAAGGGGCTATCACCCCAGTCAGTTTGCGAGTTCTATAGATTAGTCTTGTTTCTGCAGTTATTTATCAAGCAGTCACAGCCAACTCTCCACGTGCATCTGTTCAACTCTTCTCCAGAAAACACGTAATATCAATTTCTTCAGTCCATTTTTCTGACGCAGATCAATTTTTACAAAATTCGCTAGTCTGCATGTCTGATAAAAGAAAATTTCTTCCAAGATTCTCTTTCTTGGTCTCTGCGTCTGAAACAGATTACAGCGCGCGGAATCTGTGTAGAAAGGCATGTCATTTAGTTCGTTATCATATCTACCCAAAATCAGTTTGGACAAAATCAAAAGGTTGTTTACTTGAATGTACATAGGTAGCGGTAATATTCCCAAAAACTTGAGACAAGCTTCGTAGCTTCCGCCAATTGGTGATATCCACTTAACGATGCGCTTCTGTACATTTACTAACATACCCACTTTGTTTTTGCTCAGCCCATAGCAAAGACTTCCGTAAACTAATAATGGCGCTATCATTGACTTATACAGATTGAGCTTTGTTGTCCAATATACCTTTGAAACGTTACGTTTGATCATGAAGAAAACTTTTATTGCCTTCTTACAGGTTTTTTCGATGTGTTGGTCCCATTAAAGGTCACCCGAGAGTATCAAACCTAAATCTGATTGCTTTAACTCTTTTTTGATCACGTGATTTCCAAAATAAAAATTCTTTTCATTGCTAATGATAGAAACATGAGCACTTTTATCCATGTTGAAAGGCATGTGATTTGTTTCAGTCCATTTCAAAAATGCGTTTAAATCTTTTTGTACCAAATTGGGTTCTGTTCCAATGCTTAAAAATTTCGCATCATCAGCAAACATAGGAGGGAAAGACAATTGGATTTCGATGGCAAATCTTTCACAAAAACAAGGAAAAGTAATGGCGCAATAATGCTCCCCTGGGGTACTCCACTTTATATATTAATTTCCCAAGAAAATTCGTTGTTAACTCTAACAAATTGGCTACGATCTGTAAATCAAGATTTCAGTAAATTTAGTAATTTACCTCTAATACCGGTTTCAACTAGTTTTTTCAGGAGCACACCATGATCCACGCTTTCGAAAGCTTTGCTATAATCAGTGAATATAACATCTTTTTCCTTTTGATTTTCAATACCATTCTACACTTTTTGAAGGAATGTTATTAATTGAGTAATTATCGATCGATTTCTTCTAAATCAAAAATGTGAGCTGTGTAAAAACTGTGAATAGTGAATGTGTAACCTAATGAACAAAGTCCGTTCAAGAATTTTGGAAGGGATCGATAGAAGAAACAACTACACTGGGCGGTAATTTGATACATCGCATTTGTCGTTCTTTTTATCGAGAGCAGACACTGTTGCAATTTTCCAAAATTTTGGATATACGCCGTTTTGCAAAGTTTCTCGGTATATCTGTGTAAGAGAAGGGGATACAGAAATACAGAGTTTGTGAAACAAAATAGGTGGTTATTCATTTGGTCTTTTACTTTTGTAAACATTTAAGTTTTTACAATTTTCCATTATTTCTTTTGTTTCGATGCTTACTTCCTTTAGAACTTGCATATCAGCAGACAAATCACGAGAAAATTCGAATGACCTGGATTTACTCTAAACCGAAAATAAGAACTTTGCAAATAAATCTGCTTTATTTTTGTCACAATCAGCAGCGAATCCGTTGTAAAACTTTTTGGGTGGTAAATTTGATTCTCTGAAGGCTTTAAAGTACTTGAAAAGATTGGAGGTTGATCTTCCTTGTGCTAATTTATCTTCGTACTGAGTTTTGTCCATAATACTAGATGTATTCACCAATTCTTGTAAAGTCTGTACTTTTGTATGAGCTTATGGATATTTTCTTCTTGCAGTTTGCAAGCATTTGATGTAGTTTGACGTTTTTTTTGGTTATCCAGGGAGGCAATAACGCTCTATGAGCAGTTCGTTTAGGTATTGTTTCTTGTAAAGCATTTTAAAGCCATTTATACCACAATTCAATAATTTTATCAGGGTCGGACCAGCAAATAGGCTCAAATTTGTTAAAGATCAAAGTTTCAGCGAGCTTCTGATAATCACCTTTGCAATTGCTATACACCACCTCTGGGCAAAAATTTCTTTTGAATAAGCTTTTTGTTTCAACACACAGCTTCTTTTTAATTGGGTAGTGGTTCGTCAGATTTGAAAATTCAGGTTCCACGTTTGCTTTTGATATGTCAAGTGCTTGTATGCCATTGCTTACAAGAATTAAGTCCAAAATTCCAGTACTTGCTGCAAAAAAGTCTATTTTTTGGTCTAGGTTGATTTGCTCGATTAGGTTTAAGATTTCAGTTTCAATCGGTAGACAGGATGAAAGCGTATTCCAATTTATTACAGGAAAATTGAAATCTCCGCGCATAACAATGTCATCTTATTTTGTTTTGGCTTTCTTGATAAAAATGAATAAGTTATGCAGATCCTTAGATGTAAAGGCATACTTGCTGTTGGAGGGGGTGGTAAATAACACGTAACCAGCAGAACTTTTTTGTTTCCCTTGAATAAAGTACATGCAAAAATTGATCTGTTTACTTCATAGCCGAGATTCAAACGCTCTGCCATAAATTCTCGATTAACACAAATCATTGTCCCACAGTGTGAGGTAGTTTGTCCTTCTACTAACTTTCTGTTTGCACAAAAACACTGAAACTGAGGCAAAAATATTTCCCCTTTTTAAAACTTCATTTGTAAGCCAAATTTCTGTTATACAATTTATGTCATGAGTGTTAATAGAAGCCTGATTTGCTAAGATTTTACGTCTTTCTGATTTGTAATTGCTTCTTATATTATAACATAACAAACTGATTTCTCACGTTGATTTTTCTAGTCACTCGTCCAGATCAATAACTTGAATCTTAACATACAAGGTACCACGTTTAATCAGAACAAACTTCGGATCTACATTATCGTTGTTTAGTATTTCTCTTCTCTTTTTTATCACATTTTCTGTTCTTTCAGTTGTTCCTCTTTGTTATGGGAATTGAAAAAAAAAACACGCCATACGCTTTACCGTTATACGTTGGTTCGTATAATTTGAGCATTGATGACCGCGCTAACATTTTTTTTACAGTGTAGCTATCTGAGAACTTAACTAATATTTGTCTCGGTTTGAGTCTGGTTGGATCAAATTTACCTAGGCGGCGGAATCTCGATACCCCTACGTAATTCAAACCCAGATTTTCAATAACTGCCAGATCGTTTGCTTCTTCATGATCAAAAACTGCTTTCCTAGTGGGATTTTGAGCGCGCGAACCATTCAAAACCTTTTCAACTTTAAATTCCGGAACACCACTGAATCTAATTTCTGTTTCATATTCATTCGACGATTTAATAAAATTAACTGCCGAAGAATACTTAGCTTCAGGATTTGGCGCCGATGGCTAGCTCAGTACACCAATAGCGGCCTTCACCTTCTCAACTGAAGTCTTCAGCTGAACCAATTCCTCTGATAGAGATGTTGATTTTCCACATATATTTTCTTGGCTGCTGGAATACATCCGTCGCAAAAAAAAATAACACATTTTGACCTCTCCAGAAACTTGTAGTCGTCCTTGCTGTATCCAACACATCCACTGTGCACCCAGTGTTGACAGCTTTTGCACATAACCCAATTCTCTCCGCCATGATTGCAGCAAACGGAGCAAGAGTCATTCTTTGATGCCAACCTCGACCTCGTCCCAGGCATTTCGTTTTATGAAACTATTTAAAAAGTTCTAAAGCCTGAATATTCAGCTCTATGAAATGTCGCGTTTAATGGTACACGGGATCTGCGTAAGAAAGCATTTTTGTTGTGTATTAATTGTGTGGAGAACAATGAACGCGATAAATTTAAAAGAAAAAGTGATTTAGAGAAAAGAAATTAGGAGCAAACTTGCAAAATCTAGAAAACGAAATAGCATGAAGAATTAGCGACAAAACTGAGGAAGCACTTTGACAAGACTTTTGAGAAAGTTGAGAAAACATAATCAACTGTTTAGGAAGCTAAATCACCAAAAAGGAGGTGGATCTTTCCAGCCGCCGAAAAGCCAAAATGCAAGAACATTCTGGTCACAAAAACTGGCAATGTTTTCGAATTTAAAAGGGTACCCGAAGACCCAAAAAACTCCAAAGGAGGATTTACTCCTCATAAACGCAGAAGTAAACGCGATACTGAATGTAACTGGTATTATATGTAATGTAACTAAAGAGACGAGGAGAGCTTGATGAAAACCACCAAATCTGCTTGTTGCAGTGACAAATGAACATGAGGCGCGTGTAGTTTTGACAAAAATTAAGGAGAAACGAGAATGCCTGTCGAATTTGCTCATATATCTACTGCCGGCTCTGCCGAGAGGAGAAGCTGCTAGGGATAATCAAAAGATCACTTTTTCACAAAATTGATGAAAAGGTGATCTTCACTGGATGAAGATGTACCATGGGAGAAGCTAGAAGTTAGAACTCTTGATAATCAATGATGGAGTGAAAGTAGAATGTGATGCAATTTCAAACCCTAGCAAAATTAATTGACTAGGTTTCCCTAATATTGTGCAATTCAACACGCGAAGATTGGTTAACATTGAAAGGAGATCAAAACTATCAAAAGCGAACCTATATGACCATTTCTACATCAATTGTTTGTAGGAAAACCTGGCCTAACTCACAAATTTTAACATCTGAACTGATGCTCACGGATTTCATCATTTACAGATCAAACAGACGAAATAAAACTGATAAAAATTCTCAGGGTTGATCACTTATTGCTCCTAAAAACAGTGAAGATCCTTTTGAAAAAAGCATAACCTTCCAAACTAGCGCGTAGCATGCAGAGTGAAAACAGTGGCTAACGAACTAGACTCTTGCGTTTTCTACCTTTCACTGCATAATACTCTCCAAACACATTGAGACATAAACTCTCCAAACTTCAATTGGGAGACTCTAGTGCGTAGCGATGAGTTTGAGCAAAGTATTGTCGAACAATTTAATGGAAAACTTTTAAAACAAGCGGTGGAAATTATTACATGTCCCACTAACCTGCTTGATGTGCACTCTATTGAAACTCTCTTGTCCATGTTGAGAAAAACGAATTGACTCCTAAAGTTTATCATTGCTCAAATCACAATGCAAAACAACTTTTGGTGGAATATCAGCACAAAAACAAGAAGCCGTTCATAGAGAACTAGAAAAAGCTTCGGCAATGCTGACAAGTTCCACTTAAGCAGGATAACGGAATCTGCACCTTTTGAGCCCAGCAGTTAACCAATCTAGATAAAATGAAAGAAGAATCGCAGCAGCTTTTTTATAATATCATAGGGGTTTTTAATCCACGAAGAACGAGCGATAAACAAACCCTCTCTCCATGGATTTTTCCAAGCATCTCTAACTTAAAAAATAGACTGCAAACACAGCAATAATTATCTCTCGCAAAACCTAAAAGCTACAGGAAGTCATAAGTTGATAATCTAAGAGCGATTATAACTGAAGCTGCCGATAGTGACAGACTTAGATATCAGCAAAATCTTATGGAACAAAAAGACACTTGTCTGATCTTTGAACACCTCAAGAGTTTGAACAGAATTTGAAATTCACCCAAAGTAATAAAAAAGGATGCAAGAAGAATTAGCAGTAATCGAATTGAAAAAAAAACATACGCAATGAATGAACTTTGTCATTTTGTTTTCTCACTGAAAAAATCATCTCATATTGAAGACTTAACAAGAGAAAAACTAATATTAACGAAACTCAGTGTCTCGATGGAGAATCTTCAGAACAAATTTAGCAACATTAGAGATGCCGAAGAAGCTAGAGTGCCGGAAAGGCTCTCACCAATGTTTTTCCACAATACGGGTAGGCAAATGGCCATCACTCTGAGCAAAATTTTTTGAAAAATTAAAGCACATCAGAAAATTATCAATCAGATTTAAACTGGCAGCATGAAACCAGTGTTCAAATAGGGAGATTTGGTGTTTAAAAAAGTTCTAGACGAAGATTCCTCTTGCGAGGTCATCGTTTTTTACACGAGTTTTTTGAAAGCGTTTGATAAAGTGCTCCATTACAAACTTCTCGAAAAGCTTGGTTAAATAGGCGTAGGGGGATGCCTATTTAAACTTTT